GGGGGAGGTCTACAGAAGGGGAACTGGATCGACTGACTCAGGAGAAAAGGGGAAGTCTCCGAAAAACAGGAGGGAATGAGCCTAAACGCAAAAGTTACATGTGGAGGCAAAGGCTGAGGCATGGAGCGAGACAGGATCGCCGGTAAGTCAGGATCATTTTGTTTAACTTAAAGGAGAGAACTTAAACCATTTCCCTCTTTTTCAGTCAGAATGAAGTCAGATGTGAGCTGAGGGTTATTTGCAGCAACACTCAATAAATCTCATGTGATGTGCTGTCAGACTGCTGCTAGGAATAGAAACGCAATATGTAAAGTAGCCATGAAGTTCAAATGTGGACTGGCTTTAAACTAGATTGGTTTTTAAAGCTGCTTTTTGTCCATCACATGAAGCTACTTAAAATAAGAGAAGTTAAAATGTCAGATTATGAGTGAGCGTAGGCCTGTCACTTCACCACAATTTGAAGTGTGATATATTGCTGAAGTATATTTACGAATAATACTGAAACTAATTTATGCTTCTGACACAAAAATCCAAGAGCAGATTTAAACCACAAAAACTATTCTAAATCTACAATATTGTTTAAATAAATAAATAAATAACAATAAATGGGAGAAAGAAACATTTTCATACTTAGTTTGCATTTGTAATGAGCCATAGAAGTTATTAATTTAGCCTTTTACAGCTCAAATCTTACTGTGTAGCAAAAAAACCCTCAAATTTCACTATACTGCAAAGAAAAAGTACACATGATAAATACTGACCCTAAAAAATGTTCAAGCTTCCATATATGCATGAAAAAGAAGCAATAGGAGTGTGGATTGTACATAATTTTGCTTATGAATAATCCTTTTAATGTTTTTGGATTATCCCACTTGGTGGCAGTGTTGCGATGTTGTCCTTTTTTTAGATATCCAATATTTGAAACAGTGTCAAATGTTCCATATAGGTCATTCGTATGCATACAGACACTCTCTATAGAAGCAGCAGGAATTTAAAAATGGACGCCGACTGAAGGTGAGAAACGAGAATAGGAGAAGTGCTGCTGAGGCAATATTTTTCCTTCTGCTCTGCATTACTTCCCATTTCATGATTCATGTGGAGGAAGTCCAGGCCCGAGCAGCTTCCTTTGCTTTTGTTTGGGCCCGTTGCCATGACAGCCAGTTATACTTCATCCTACTCTATACTGTGCTCTATGCTCTATACGACTTTTACTTTCATGTGAGAAATACTGTAGGCTTCCATTGTCACTGTGATTAAGTGATCATGACTTTCACAAAGGAGCTGCACAAAAATAAGAAAATCATTCAGATTACTGCTCTAACTATATATATTTGGTGTACTCTTTTGACATAGTAGTCTACAAGATGTGTTGATGATGAAAAAGAAGATCACAATAATTTGGACATATTTTATGAAATAAAAAACTGTACAGTTATTGAATATATTCTGGATATTACAGTGTGAGAATTATGTCTGATATTTTGTGCTGATTTTGGTCCTTTAACATGTGGATACCATATATTTATTTGTGTGAAGAAGAAAAAAAATCGAATTTTCCAAAGAAACCCAACGCAACTGTATCTGTTTAGCATCAGTCATCAAATATGTTTTGGATAAATACAAATAAAAAAAGAAGAAGAAAGAAAGAAATGGAATCCAGTGTTGATCCGCTGCTTTGTACAATCAAGTTCTACAATAACTCCACATTATTTACAAGAAAGCAAATACTTTGACTAATAAAGTTAAGGTGCCTTATCTTATAATAATACTGTTTCCTCTTGCTTGCCTTTACCAATTATTTGAGATGGTTTTGTGGTATCAAGTCTTTATACCAGCAAAGCTGTTGGAAAATTCTTCTCGGTGACATGACAGGAGACATTTGGAAAATAACATTGGGCCTTATTTATTAGCCTCTGAAATACTTATACTAAATACTGAAGCTCTTCATCTTTTTCCACCTTTGGTGGATAGTGTTTTCTAACTGTTTACTCAATTTATTAACTAATGTAGACTTGGGCTTCTCATTTTTTAAAGACAAAACCTAACTTAAACTGCTTTATCCAAACCAACAGAACATCATTTGAACTTGTCAATGGCACCTGTGTGTTGCTATAGTGAACTAATAAAATACTTTACTCTATACCTGCATAGACACAAATAACTGAACAGACTCTCAATAAAATGTGCTGTAACAACCTTAAATGCTCTTACACAATCCCATAGATACATTCTGGGAAATGTCAAATACGGGCCAACTCAGTGTGTCCCACAGAAAACCTGTACAGGATTTCCTCGTCCAGTGAACGCCTTATGTTATCTCACCTCATATTGTTGTAAGTAGTAATCTTAATACAGGAGAGAGATGGAAATGGACAGGAAACTCCACCTATGGGCCCACCACAGAGGCGCCCTGATGGTGACATTACGCAGCATGATGGAAACTCAGAAGGTGACGCCATAGGGTGACACAGACTGAAAAAAAGGCTGTTTATGTTAGGATAAGAAAGTCCATCCCCAGCACTCACCACTGTAATTTTGACATATGAAAGGTGTCATTTAGATAAACACACAGACCGCAGCATTAGCCCTGCTGGATAAACATATGTGTCTACTCAATATGGAGGTTGGTTTGTGCTACTTCCTGCCAATAAATGTTTGTGGTCCACTCTGTGCTTGTTTGGCTTGACCAACAGCTTAATTCTACAATCACTCAAAATAGACCATAATAGTAGGGATTAAATGTATAGGTATTTCTACACAAAAGATAATAATACAATGTCAAGAGGATACATAGGCCAGGGACAGCATTTTTAAACCATTTTAAAGGGCTCATATTGCGCAATTTTTCTGATCTAGGTTATAGTGTTGTTTCCTCGTCACAAACATATATGGACATACTTTTGTTTCATTCACAATAAATAACAGTGACGTGCAATTTGTAATGTTGTAATCTAGTTAGTGTAAGGAGCAACTGTTAATGGGTCTACAACTTCCTGTTTATACATGATATTTTGAAGACTTCTTACTATTGTTTTGAATTAGTGATAAGTGTTATTTCTTCATAGTAATGGTAGTAGTGTTAGGGCAAATAGCCATGCTTAGTTTTTGTATAACTACTGCTATGATGTTACTGATGTACTGCTATATAGTGATTGATGTACTGCTATATTGTATTATTGTACTTCTAGAAATCACTATACAATGACAAAGAAAACAGGGACTAGATTACATCTGAGGGATGCAGAGATAGATTCAGTTAATTTACAAGATAATCTATTTCTGTCTAACTAAATAGGGCAAGGACTTATTGATAGGGATATGCTGACTCACGACTCATCACCCTGATCAGACCAGCAAGATGCTCCCGTAAGAGGAGTAAAATGAATCTGAGGGATGCTCATCACAATCTGGTAAGATTGTGCAATGTGCCAAAAGGCCTGGCTGACCTGTGCACCAACGAAGAGGCACTAAGTCTAAACCATGGTAGTCTTCCACTAGTCTGCCTATAAAACTCATTGTATAGGCATAAACATTCAGCCTCTGCCTGGAAATGTCAACTGCACAGACTCCTAAACTAACAAAACTAACAAACACGCAAGGGAAAGGCTGGTTTCCTTACCGCAGGAGCAATACTTTCTATATTTTACCTTCACTTGAGTATTTTGTAATTTCATGTTTTATGGTAATATGTTATTTATAATGTTCTGTTATTTTACTATTACTGAAGTCTTGTGTATTTACAATGCTATTTTAGGGACACCATGGCTGACCATCATCACACTTCAAGTCACTGACCGCTCTTGTCTGTACTAAAATAACACATTTAGTACTTGACTCCTCCAGATGTTGTCGTTTTGTGTTGCAGTTTAGGTTAGTTTAGTTTATTGCTTTATTTTAACAAGGACCATGTGGCAATACAGTAATCTCATAAAAGAAGATGCTTTACACCAGCTTTAGCTAAAGTAAGTTTCCATCTGCAGTCGCTGGGCAGGTTAACAAACTATTAAAATACATCTGAGTATTCATCCATTTACAATCAAACCATGCATTCTCCCATTCTTTCATTTAAAAATGTCACATTCTACATTTTCACATTAAAATAACACAAATACTAAGTCAGATATTACCATATAAGCTATCACATACACATACAAATCAGTGTTGGCAGTGCTGACAGTATTGGTCCAACTGTTTCCTTGTTGAGATACGGAAGGTGTGTGTCCCTGTGTGTTTTGGTTTAATTGAGCTCTGCACAGTTTTTTGACTCATGGATTTAAATGCTCCTCTTTTTTGCTCTATTGGACATTGTGCATTTTGTGATTGGATTTAAGAGTTACCTATATGCATTATAATTAGAGACCGACTGATACAAGATTGTTTCATGGCCGATTGTTACTCTGAAATACAGATTGTTTAGTACTCTGAGAATCCTAGGTCTGATAAGCACTGCTGATATTTTTAGGCCAATATGTTCAGCCGATTTTGTTTATTTTCCCCATTCAATAATTCATGCTATTCTATAATTAAAATATAATTACTATAAACTCTTTTTTTTTTTTTACCACACACCAGCTATCTGAGCTATTAAAGTTATTAATATAAAGCTTTGTGTGTATTTTTAGGCAGCAGACCAAAACTAAAGATTGGCATATGCTGGAGATTTAAGGCTGACAGCCAATATGTCCGCTATATCAGCCAACCAATATGTCAGTCTATCTCTAATTTGACTGCACATAGAGCCAAATACACAGTGACGGCACATATTTATATGCAGGCCACCGGTTGCTCTTAATCTTTTTTTTTTTTTTTCTTTCTTAATCTATTATTTGCAGTTAAACAGAAATCATCTCCGTTGCCACAGGAGTCTCTCTGTAACCATGTTTACAGTTTCAAGGATACGTCTATTTAGTGTTTTCATTTTCTGCTCCTTGTTGGGGACACCTTCACAGTCACTCCCCTGTCCCCACATATACCTCCACACTGTCTCTTTGTACCTGCCCCGACCTGCAGGTGTCAGGGTCATTACAGGGGCCACTGGGTAAGGCCTGGCATCCTGTTTGTGGCCTTCACTGCAGAGCTTTCTTTAGCTTTTATGGCAGCTCATGACTGGTAGGATTTTACATTGTGCTTCTGTCTTATTGT